TCCATCAGCCAATAGCCGCTGAAATATCAGCCCACTGGGGCGTGGTAGATTTCTCTTTTAAAAAGAGATGCAGAGCTCGGCTCGGGCCTCTTGGTTCCAGCGCTTGGTCCCAGCTCCTGCTCCCGGCTCCTGCTCCAGCGACCAGGCTCCCTTCCTGACGGTTTATGGTGTATGTAAGTTTTACCCCCCAAAATAAATAACCCCTTAAAACATAACTGGTGTGGGATTGATTCGCCGTTAATCTCTCCCTGAGCAGGGTCTGCCAGCTGAGGCTCGTGGGTTCTCTCAGAGGCCACGCTTCTGTCTACCTCTCTCTGCAGAAAGGAACTGGCCTGGAAGTCTGACTCTATTCCGCCTTTCTGCTTCCTAAGCCCAAGATCCTCTGCCCCTCTCCTGCAATTGGAAGTGATAACCTTCAGGATCCCCGCCAGTCTGGAATACTGACGTAAAGAGACACCCTGGGATGCTCTTGGAGAGCACCTGTATCCCTGAAGCCAGAGTGAGACGCTTCCCCAGGTGACATGGTACCTACAGCATCCTGCCTTCTCACAGGCATGCGTGAAAGGTGATGATTAGAATCCCATCTGCGACAGAAAGCACTGCGGGGGGGGGGGGGGACGGGATTCCTTTCTCCTTACTCTCAAGATGCCTGCCCCTCCCCCCACCAGCCATCTGTACTGATGCTAACAATGGCTTCATCTTAACAAAATCCCACCTATGGATTCTGCTTTTGGGGGGCCCGCCCTGGCTCCCAGCCCTCTCCTTACCCACAGATAGCACAGTTCCAGTGGCACTTCTATTGTCTATGGAGTTAGAGGCTGAAGAGTCCATGTCTGTCCGTTTGCAGAGGGTGCCAGGCAACCAGAACTCCCAAATATTCACTTGGGTTTTGATTAGGAGATACATAGACCCCCACCCCTCACACACACACCTGGATTACTTTCTAATAGTTTCTGGAACCCACAGCAGAAGGAATCCCAGGAAAAGAGCAAAGCTTCCTGAAAGTTAGTAAGAATTTTACTTCTACTCATACGGCAGCCATCGTGACCTGCAAAACGTCAATGCCTCTGGAATGAGTTTTCGATACAAAGCCATGAGTCTATAACTTTCCTCTTTGGATTTTAAAAGCATCATCTCTTTAATAATTCATCTTTTCTTCCTTCAGCCTTACTAAATATTAAATAGATAAAAGTTAAATATTTGAAAGGTGAACATGGAAAGAGTCACTCAGGGAGGTGTGACCCACTCAAAGCCTCTTCAGTGTGGGACAGGATGAGGAAGCACCTAGGACAGGTGTGAGCAGCTTCCCTGGGATCAGTTCTCGGGACAGATGAGGCGCCTAGCCTGTGTTCTCGCCCCTGAGTGGCTGGCTATTGTGCACTGTTCAACATCACAGCCTGGGAGGCTAGCAGACCCACCTCTTCTGCTTGTTCTCTGCCCTCCTTAGTCCCCGAGGAACAAGATGCCAGGAACCTGGTCCAGGGCAACGTCAAGCTTTCTGTCAGGTGAGCAATTGCATATTTCTCCCAAGCTGATCTGAGCGAGGAGACTTGGGTCTCTCTCTCCTCCTGCCCCTGCAAGGTGATTTTCATTCCAAGGTTTCTGTGGTATTGATATCCCCCTACGAGCCTTGGGCATTTGAGTGACTGGTCCCAAGTTGGAGGAACTGTTTGAAAAGGATTAAGAGGTGTGGCCTTGATAAGAAATGCATACACTGGGGGTGGACCTTGAGGTTGCAAATGGCTCATCTTTCCTGCATATTCTGCCTCCTGTTATGGCTCAAGATGCGAGCTCTCTGCTGTTCCTGCCACTCTGCCTTCATTCCACCACTGTGGACTCCATGTGAAACCAGAAGCCCACTCAAACTCTTTCATAAGTTGCTGTAGCTGTGATGTCTTTTCCCAATAGAAAGGTTACTAATACCATCTCCATGTAGCTAATCCATGTGCACAATGGCTCACAGCATGGGCTTGATAAGGTCATCTGAGACAAGAGTCTCTGAGCGTGTCTGAGGAACTCTGAGTAGGTTAAGATGGGAAGACCCACCCTAATTGTGGGCAGCATTCTCCCATGTGAATACAAAGGAGGGAGGGAGGGAGGGAGGGAGAGAGAGACAGAGACAGAGAGAGAGAGAGAGAAAGAGAGTGAGAAAGAGCGCTGAGATCCAGCTTCCATCTCTCTCTGTTTCTTGGCTACAGGCACAATGTGAGGAGCTACCTGCAGCTCCCAGGGCTGTGGTTTTACTCTACCAAAAACCATGAGCCAGCATGAGCCCTCCCTTCCTCAACTTGCTTCTTTATTATTATTATTATTGATTTCTATTGAGCTCTACAATTTTTCTCTGCTCCCCTCCCTGCTTCTCCCCTCCCCTTCAACCCTCTCCCAAGGTTTCCAGGCTCCCAATTTACTCAGGAGATCTTGTCTTTTCCTACTTCCCTCAACTTGCTTCTTGTTGGAATTTTGTCACAGGAAGCGACAGCCACACCCTCCCACCTGAGACTCCATCATATTAGAGACTCACAACTGTTACTAAGCAGAACTTAATTTTCTTCACATTGACGGAGCAGTGTGAGCTGCTTTGAACAAAGCAGCTGAGACTTTCCACCTCTACAGAGTAGAGATGGGTTTCCAGAACCCAGTGCCGTAGCCAAGAACCCATGACTCTCTTTACAGAGACCCAAGAACAAGGCCATCGAGGTCAAACCACACCACGGAGCAGCTCCAAAGGCAGTGAGCAGTTGATGTTGTAAATTCTTGGAGGTTATGAATGCTGTAACTTCCAAACATGGCTGACTCAGCAAGTGTTCCAGGGCTAGCCTGTACCACATTGCCACCAGCAGCCGAGTAGAACTGACCTGGGGACTCTGGATTCAGTCATCAGCAGGGATATGGGGGCACTAATGACTCTATCCAGCTATGTTCCCACTGTGTCTCTCATGGACCTGCACCCTTTGTCACAGACCTGACACCTCATGCTGACCCAGCAGCAAGCATTGAGGTCTGGGGATAGAGACACTATTTTCATAGGGTAGAGTAAGCTGTAGGCTGAGCCTGGCCTGGAAACACAACGAGAATGCTAATTGATGACTCTGATTCCTCTTTCCTGTTTTATTAATGACATCTGCGCCAAATTTGTACAGTAATTTGCATAATACACTAATTCTCCATAAGAAAAAGGAGGGGAGCCCTGAGCACACAGAATCAGCACTTCCGCGACTGTGTCATAGCTACATAAGATTTCAGACCCTCCCCCTCCCCCTTTTTGTTAAAGAACTGTCCCTCATGAGGCTTGGTTGTATTTAAAAATCCGTCAAAATGGAAGGAAGGAAGGAAGGAAGGAAGGAAGGAAGGAAGGAAGGAAGGAAGGAAGGAAGGAAGGGAGAGAGGAAGGAAGGAAGGAAGGAAGGAAGGGAAAGAAAGAAAGAAAGAAAGAAAGAAAGAAAGAAAGAAAGAAAGAAAGAAAGAAAGAAAGAAAGTTGAATCTCTTCAGGCTGCAATACCTTTCTCCATCCAACATCTCATGTGGTAGAATTCACTCCTCTTCCTGCACCTACTGTGCGCAGAGGCACACAGTAGGCCTCCACAGGATCTGCACCTTCTTGGGTCAAAAACAGCCAGCCGTGGAAGTGACGATGCAGCCCATCTTAATCAAGCCTGGCCCTGCAGCAGACCCCTCAGTGTCATCACAGACCACAAGGAGATGCAGGGGACAGACGGCCTGGCTCCCACCTGGTACCAAGAAGAAGGGCATTTCGCTAATCAGGCAAAGATGCCTGCTGTGGATTCTCTAGTCAAGCGACAAGCATCAAATAAGCATCCCCCAGGCCAGGCTGCTGCAGAGCCTGTTTTGAGATCTTCGTGGCTCATCCTTCCTGTCAGTCACATCGGGAGTCCAGCAGGAAGCTCAGGATGGCTTTTCCACATCCTTTCCTCAGCTTGAGCCCATCTCTGAGGACAAGATCTCTGATAGTGACTCAATAAACACACGAAGAAGAAAGGGAGATGAAAACGGTTAGGTATTAGGGTTGGAGGGAAGCAAGCTCCCAGCTAAATGCCAGCTGACTCCGGAGTATTCTCAAGCTAAAATTTTTGCAGACGATTGCTGCCAGGATCCTGAGTGTGTGGCACTAGCTAAATAACCCTTCGTCAGTGTACTCCTCAGGAGACCTGTGGCAATGCGG